ATTAGTATAGGCAATAGCATGGTTTCGAGTGCAATTTGGATATAACATGCACGAGTGAGTTTTTCAAAGACCTCAAAATTATAGCACGAGTCCGAAGGACGAGTGCTATTTGAGGTCTTTGAAAAACTCACGAGTGCATGTTTATCCAAATTTCACGAGAAATCATGCTATTACTTGATAATGTACACAAAAATATTCGAGACAATTGTAGCTTTAACGTACGCGTTTATAGCGAACATTCCACTGGGCACTGGCAAAGTTTTCCTGGCTTTGTTATATCACATTATACAACGCTAACAGCTTGAAAATTCCACTCAACTACGTAATTTTTGTTAGTCTTGTTTAAGGTAAATGCTTTTCCATTTAAAAATAAAGATAAAAGCCATATTTTCCACGCGAAGGCAACTTTTACTTTGTGTAGTGCGGCGCCATGTAGTGCGCGCCATTTTGAAGCAATCTGTGACCGTTACACAGAGGAGAGACATACTCTGTGACCGTTATTTCTTTAAACTAAATTGCTTTAAACTGATTGGTTGATTTAATCATCACAATATTTTCCCACCAATCAGACCAGTTTGTTACAGATTTTTGCACTGTGATTACAAAATATTGCACTGTGATTACAAAAAATTGCACTGTGATTACAGAAAATTGCATTGCTGCACTGAATCAACCAATCACAATCGAGTAATGTCTTTATGTATATTATTACTATAGCACTAGCTATGTTTAGGAATAGCACATAGCACTAGCTATGTTTAGGAATATTTAGGACAAAAATAGTTGAGAGCAATTGTAGCATTCATGCTGAAAATATATTATGTTGTAGCCTTCTCCCCCACTCTAATTTTGACAGTATTTGATAGCTACGTACATAACCCAGGTGTATATTTCATCCAAACAACTTTGAATGGCGGGTGGGGTGGGGGTTAGGGTGAGGAGGGCGAACACATGGAAATTTGAAAAACGCATGAATTTGACATTTGATCACATATAGGTCACCAGGTTTTGTCCAAGATTGTAGCTATGTGTTAGATTAATTGCCGGCGGTCTAAATAGCCTAAAACTACGAGTCAGGTAATGTAATTTGACGAAAGCCGTAATCAAGCATAGAAAAGCATGCTGGCCGTTGTAATTAGCGGATAAATTTATTTCCCGTTCTTCCAAAACTCCCACGCGTATTTCTTAATTAACTGTTTAGAAACACAAATTTCCCCATGGGTAAGCGTACCTTATCCCAGTCCGGACGTCCAGGATTTGTTTTCGTTTTCAATCCAGTTATTAGATCCTTTTCTTTCTTCTCATGTATCAGTTCCAGAGCCATTTGTAGTCCGAGTGCTTTGATATCTTCCTTCTTTAGAGCCGATGTCATATAAATATGCATGTCTAGGAAATGCTCACTGAACACACCTCGTTGTTCTGACTGTTCCATCTCCAACTGAGCCAGCAGACTGATAAACCACTCAAAAGATGCCTGGTCACGATTTATCCAGAAGAAATCAACCTACAAAAAAGGAAAAGAAGAAGTTCTGTCATAATGAGCAACGTTAGATGATTTGGGAAAATGTCGCAATTTGTGCGTGCAAGCAATTTTCAGCTTCATGTTTGAAAGCGAATCACTTGTCTCATGCAAGTAAGCCATGAAAAAGGGGGATATGACATTTAAGATCCAAAGGCAAAATTTGTATAATTCAGTGGTTTTACCAAAGTTTAGCTAATTGAACTGAATGAAAACAGAGGCAAAATTTGGGTATTTATGAAATGTCTTAAGGAGAGCAAGTGCGTTGCTGTGCCAAAACTCTTACTCATATAGTGTTTTCTATAGCAATGCACTGGAAATATTTTTCAAAAATTAAATAATGTGGATTCTATAATATGGAAATATGGAAATATTCCAATTATACTGAACTCCATTTCAATACTATTGATATAGTTTGTGTTTATTAGTGATGCAAATTTGATTTCCATAGTAAGGTTTTGAAGACATACTGAATACTGATCATAAACTTATTAGTTTCGAACTCGACCTTAAAATAAACAAAAAGCCTAAAGTCAAGCGTGAGGTTTTCAACTTCAAAAAAGCTAATTGGACTGGTCTCAAGGACGTGCTATTAAATACCCCCTTTGATACATGCTTTGTTCCAGAGGACATTTATGCTTCCCTTTCAAAATGGTGTGACCTGTTTCTCTCAATGATCATATCACTAAATGTTCCTCAAGAAACGTCTACGATCACCCTTGGATTGATAAAGAGTTGCTGGATCTCATTAAAAAGAAAAACAAGCAAAGAAAAAAGCTGCTAAGGACAAAACACCCCGATGACTTAGAGAAATTTAGGTTAATCCGACGCGAAACAGAAAAGCTTATCTTCAAGAAAAAAGGTGATCACGTTAATAAGCTAAAAGAGTCCATGTTTGAAAATCCCAAACGTTTCTGGTCACTTCTGAAATCTTCGACCAAAACAAATCAGAGCCCAAATTTTATTCGAAATGGACAATCCTTTACGCCCGACAGCCGCATCAAAGCAAACTTATTCAACAAATGTTTCCACTCCATTTTTAGCCCTGGCAACGTAGATCCACCTTCAACGCTCTTTACTTCAATGGAATCTTCTTGTAACAAACTCTCTGATATTGATCTTACAATCTCTGCAGTTGCTGCGGTGCTTCGTAGTTTAGACCCCAATAAAGCGTGTGGACCAGATGGTATTCCGAGCAGAGTTCTGTCCAAGGTCGCCGATGAGATTGCTTCTTTGTATTCTTTTCAATATGTCTCTCTCTTTTGAAGTGGTACCTGCTAAGTGGAAGTTAGCCAACATTATCCCTGTTTTTAAAAAAGATGATCCCACCATAACATCGAACTACAGACCAATTTCTTTGCTGTGTGTTATCTCCAAAGTATTGGAACGTTGCGTTTTTAATCACTGTTATCATCACCTCTACCCTTCTTTCTATCAATTTCAACATAGATTTTTCAAGGGTAAATCAACGACAACACAACTACCACAGGAGGCCCAGGCTCGATTTGCCCGCGCCCGCCTGTGCCTTCCTTATAACGAGGGAAGGAAGGAAACATTGAGACCAAAATAGCCCAGACTGGCATATGTCACACGAAACTATCCTCGATTTTTCGCCTTTAATGCATTTCCTTCACGATTAATCGATATCCCCTGCAAGAATGA